CACATTACCCGTTTCACACTACTGCAATCCAGATTTATAAAAAAATTTTCTGACCATTCATATTCGAGAAATAAAATAATAAAGTTTGCAATCTCCAATCAACGCTATCCAAACCTAAACAGAAACTTTCCCCAGCAAGTCTGAACTGCACCGCCGCGCCGGCTCGCGTTTATATAATATAAAAGAAGGAGACGAGAGTCGGTTAACTATCTATTACGCAACGGGTTAAATAATATTATGTCATACCAAACGGGAAGGAATGGAAAGGAAAGTGAGGTGTCCCTCATTCGCGTAAATCCATTGAATTTCCGATTTAAGACGACAAATCGACTTATTGTTAGTAAAATGAAACGACGAAAAATGGACTCTGAAGGGCTCCTCGTAATGGAATGAAGAAATGCTGGCCGGGTACCGGCGGCGTTTGCTACGTGGTATGTAAGGCTAAATCGCGTTCCAAGTATTACAAGACCGATCGTATACGTGCGCCGACTGCTGGATTGATATTGTTACACGCGACGAGCATTTACTTCCCCTTACCCCCTCCTACTACTTCTTCTCGTTACTCGAATATTTTCCGTCGAAGCATTCGCGTAATTCGAGGCGTGGCGCCGGAACTCGGCGAACGACCTCGCTTCACCTTTAGGCTTGCAAAATGTTTTAAGGAAAATCAGAAGTTTTTGGTAAAATTCTTATATGTACTACTAATATAGTAAGAGATTTATGAATTTTTTCAACAATTTCCAGCCATTAGAATCGGAGAAATTAAATCTTTCAGAGTCTTCTTCCTGACAATATGTGAAAATTGGTGTCAGATATTTTCTTTAACGATTGTTACTTAATTTGTTATTATTCGATTGAATCTGGAATTGGTAAATTGCGAAGGGAGTCTGGGTCGTCAGGTTTTAAGCATCCTGTTTGCAGCAACCGGTAAAGGTGATGCAACGAGAGAGACGGGAGGCAAGGGAAGGATGTGGTATAGTTCACGAGGAGAAGAAGAAGGAACTAACTTCTTCTACCGTTTTGCAATTGAAGTTGACGCAACATCACCGTGGATATTTACTTTCTCTCTAGCATCCTTCATTCCAAATAGCATCCTCTTATAACAGATCATAGCCGTACTGATCGATCTTTACATATAGTGAACAATTTTCCAAAATAGAGACTCTAATTCATTTTAGATTTCTTTTTGATGTCTCCAATTGTAGTGACTAGAATTTATTGAAAAAATTTATGGCTATACTATATTTGGTATACTGTATATTACAGAATCTTTTCAGAATTTTAAATCATTGATGTCCATTGAAAAAATTGTTTAACTCCTAACTCTTTGTATATGACCACCTATCAATTTTCACTTTCAATTACGTTTAATACCTGCATTTCCAATGTATAAACAATTCTAGGATATTGTCCAAGACGTGCTAAATCCAACATAATTGTCTCGAACCGACGACGTCAAGATTCACCTCTAAAAATGTAGCCAATCTCCCATCTTCAATATTACTATATTATCTCTTACTATATTAGTAGTACATATAAGAATTTTACCAAAAACTTCTGATTTTCCTTAAAACATTTTGCAAGCCTAAAGGTGAAGCGAGGTCGTTCGCCGAGTTCCGGCGCCACGCCTCGAATTACGCGAATGCTTCGACGGAAAATATTCGAGTAACGAGAAGAAGTAGTAGGAGGGGGTAAGGGGAAGTAAATGCTCGTCGCGTGTAACAATATCAATCCAGCAGTCGGCGCACGTATACGATCGGTCTTGTAATACTTGGAACGCGATTTAGCCTTACATACCACGTAGCAAACGCCGCCGGTACCCGGCCAGCATTTCTTCATTCCATTACGAGGAGCCCTTCAGAGTCCATTTTTCGTCGTTTCATTTTACTAACAATAAGTCGATTTGTCGTCTTAAATCGGAAATTCAATGGATTTACGCGAATGAGGGACACCTCACTTTCCTTTCCATTCCTTCCCGTTTGGTATGACATAATATTATTTAACCCGTTGCGTAATAGATAGTTAACCGACTCTCGTCTCCTTCTTTTATATTATATAAACGCGAGCCGGCGCGGCGGTGCAGTTCAGACTTGCTGGGGAAAGTTTCTGTTTAGGTTTGGATAGCGTTGATTGGAGATTGCAAACTTTATTATTTTATTTCTCGAATATGAATGGTCAGAAAATTTTTTTATAAATCTGGATTGCAGTAGTGTGAAACGGGTAATGTGTGAGAGTTTTTTCAAATATCTTTTAATTCGTTGTTTATGGTAAATAAAAATTGATGAAGATTGCAAATTTAAATTTTTCATCACTGATACGTTGTACTTTTTTCTCTGATTTTGATGTGGCCAAAATTTTGAAAAAATTCAGAGAGACGTAGTGCTATGCGGGTAGTATACGTGAGAATTTTTCAAGCTTTTAGATTCATTATTTATGTTAATGAAAATTCATAAGGCTTTCAAATTTTTGGATAATAGATTTTAGTCAGTTTATCTCTATGGTTGTATGTGATTGGATTTTTTTTCTCTGATTTGAATGTAGCTAAAATTTTGATAAAATTTGGTAGTATGGCCCCCTGTCAGCTACATCTTCCGTAATCCAACCTTCTATCTTGCATAGTAAGATCATAAAAAATTCGTAAATCTCAGTACTTTATATCAGCTGTAATACTTCAATTACAGTTTCTCTGTTGCTTCCAACATTGAATGGGGTGGATCACAACAGATGGACCCACTTGTCTCTCTTCACTCTTAAACCTTGTATCTGTGGTGGTGTTGGCAAAGCCAGAACACCCTTCGCGTGATAAATAAAGAATTACTGAACTGAATTGAACTGAACTTAAACCTTTAGTACCCATAGCGAAATTCCAGTAGCTCAAATAATAATAATAATAATAATAATAATAATAAGTTTGATTAATATTATAATTTATTTCTTCCCTTCCAATGTTTAGAAAATTCTGAAAAAGATTACAGTCGTCCTACTCAGCCTCCCGAACATTCCGAAATTTTTTCAGAATTTTTTGACAAAAATTGACGTTATAAAACTTGTTTTAATTAAACAAAATCGGTTTTATTGATATCGTTTTATCGGTTGTATTCGAATTGTTTGATCCCTCAGTACGTGCCTCGGCATCTTGCCTTTATCCTGGTGTGTTTCACTTCTGGTTGCCGTTCTGCAACCGGCGAGTAAAACCCAGAGACCTTTAAAGATCGCTCGCCGATTATTTCATAACTCCTCTCCATCCCAGATACGGAAAAGTTCATCCGCTCTGTTCTATACTATAAGTACTGTTTCTCCGGCGTTACGTAAGACTGTTTCAACTCTCTCGAAACGTGAGAGGACGAGCCCATCGCGATGGCAATTAAATAACACTCAATAGGAGAATACGTTCGGTGGGTTTTGGATTTGGGCGATTTTTCTTTAATGAAAATCGTCGAGGAATTTGAACTTCTGTAAAAATTCTGTAATGTATAGCAGATCTAATTCTAGAACGTTTTTTGAACGATTCTATTAATTAGAATTGGAGATATTAACACTAGAAAGACTGAAACTTAGTATATACCTATATTGCCCAAAAGCAGTCAAAATGACTGCATTGTGAAAGAATAATGTGTAAAGAAATTTGTCTAAAATTAATTTTTAATATTTTTTATATTATTTACAGTCATATAACAAGTTATTAGTAAATGTTAACAATAAAAAAAATTTACTTCACTTGGGAAAAATAATAATTTATGCATTATTATTTGTACATTTGCCCAAAAGCAGTCAAAATGACTGCATTGTGAAAGAATAATGTGTAAAGAAATTTGTCTAAAATTAATTTTTAATATTTTTTATATTATTTACAGTCATATAACAAGTTATTAGTAAATGTTAACAATAAAAAAAATTTACTTCACTTGGGAAAAATAATAATTTATGCATTATTATTTGTACATTTGCCCAAAAGCAGTCAAAATGACTGCATTGTGAAAGAATAATGTGTAAAGAAATTTGTCTAAAATTAATTTTTAATATTTTTTATATTATTTACAGTCATATAACAAGTTATTAGTAAATGTTAACAATAAAAAAAATTTACTTCACTTGGGAAAAATAATAATTTATGCATTATTATTTGTACATTTGCCCAAAAGCAGTCAAAATGACTGCATTGTGAAAGAATAATGTGTAAAGAAATTTGTCTAAAATTAATTTTTAATATTTTTTATATTATTTACAGTCATATAACAAGTTATTAGTAAATGTTAACAATAAAAAAAATTTACTTCACTTGGGAAAAATAATAATTTATGCATTATTATTTGTACATTTGCCCAAAAGCAGTCAAAATGACTGCATTGTGAAAGAATAATGTGTAAAGAAATTTGTCTAAAATTAATTTTTAATATTTTTTATATTATTTACAGTCATATAACAAGTTATTAGTAAATGTTAACAATAAAAAAAATTTACTTCACTTGGGAAAAATAATAATTTATGCATTATTATTTGTACATTTGCCCAAAAGCAGTCAAAATGACTTCCTTGGGCAATCTAGTGTTAATTATAATAGAAATTGCAGATTGATACAGGCTGATCTAGACGAAATTACAAGTTTGCCAATTTTTTTTCAAGTCGAGATTGATTCAGAATTCACTGTATGATTAAAAAGAATTCTCTAATATACAACATACCATGTAGTGTATCCATGAATTTTTTCAATAGACTCGACATCATTAGAATTGTAGATATTAAATATAATAGAAATGACAAATCGATACGAACGAAGTTAAAAGTCTTGCAATTATTTTCCATAGAACCAGTGACTCAAAAATTCCGAAAAAAATCTCCGAAATTTCGTAACACCCCTGGGAACGTATCGAATTTTTCCCGAGGCATTCCGCCCGCGTGAATAAAAGATATACGTAAACACGTAGAATCCTCATACACCGAATATAATCGTTACACGTTTGAAAAGCGTCCGTATAGAATTCCGTGTAACGTGAAGGCACACGTGGCGAGTTACGAAGATTGTGGAAGGAGCCGATGAAGCGGGGAGAGTGTGGAGGTGAAAAGTCAAAGAAAACGGATCCTTTAGCTCAGCCCCCCTCTGTCTCCCGTGTCTTGGCTCGCCTTTCTTCAGGCTGTCTTCCTCGAAGCCTCTTTCCTTAAAGGAGAGGAAAAGGATCCCCTTACCCAAACTGTGCGACGACGACGCCTCACAGCTTATGGAATCTTTTTTTCAATTTCTACACACTGAAAAGCGCCCCAAGGATAGGAGGGTAGGGGTTTTCGTGGGCGGAGCAGGTCGTGGGAAACATTTTTAAACGGGCGATTCTCAATGTGAAGACGCAGGTTTCAATCCAAGTCAAAGGCAACCTCATCGATACAAATACAATTATAGTAGCCTCCGGATATATGGTCATTGCTTGGTTCTGATGACGGACAGGGCCATATATCCGGACACTATTGAAAATGAATAAGAGAAAATGATATAAAGTATATATAGCCATACCTGACCATTGGACTCAAACTTTGGGTTCACTGAAAATTTAAAAAACGGGCCTACCAAAAATGCTCTAATGCGACCCCGCTAAACGTTCCAAAAACTGGACCGGCAAAGGGTCGAAAAGGTGCACATGCATCCGTATTCCGTAGACTACCGCGATTAGATTCGATATTCCGAGACGATCAAACGATTAACGAGATATTAAAATAAACGTACGGGAGTAGTGTTTGGCCTCGGATCGAAGTTGAACGGCTGGGAGAGAATAACGGGTCGAACGGTTGAAAAAGAAAGAAGGAAGGAAGAAAGGAAGAGGTGGGGGGGAAGTAGGAGGTCATGACTACCTGGCAGGCTACCTGGAAGAGGTGCCGCCCGCTGGAATGTGTCTCCCTTTCTTTATTTTTCACCGCGTCTTCCATGCGTAAGAACCGTCTTCTTGTTCTTCTTCGCCTCCTTCCAGGAAGTTCGAATCTCTTTCTGTTCGTTGTACATCGGCACGAAATAAAGATACACATCTGCTAGTATGCGGAGAGCGCGTTACAAAGTGTATTACGCTGGCTGCTGGAAGATGGATGACGTAATCTGGTTAATTGGCTCGGCGTCTACCGCGTTAGGACCAATTGTCCATGTACGTACGTACGTACCATATCGTACGTAGTTCGGAGTATGTCGACCAACGCCTCGCGACGAATATCACGCCTCGGTTTCTTCTTCCCACAGTTCTATTCGATACGCTGGGAAAGGCTTCCCTTTAGACAATCTTTAAATCCAGTTGCATTTATTTCGATTATAAACGTTCGGTTAATAGTGGAATTATTTAATTAGAAAAGTTGTAGTCTGATGGAAGACGTTGTACAGCTTTGATCGTTTATAACTTTGTTAATAATGGAGCTAGGAGGGTCAACTTTAGCGCAAATTAAAGCTTAAAATCTGTATTGTTTCGCTATTTCGCTAAATTGATTCCCAAGGGGTAAATACGGGCCATAAATAGAAGATTGTCGAAATTCTCTTATCGAACTTATCCAGAAATATGATCGAACTTCAATCGTTAATAACGTCGTTAATAATGATAATAAATTATAATAATAATAATAATAAACCGATTTACTTCGTTCACAGCTCAAATTGAAGCCCGATGTTTCTACGTTAGTAAAGCTCCTCTGACAAATTGTAATGAACTGATTCTTAAAAGGTGAGAGTTAAATTTGAATTGAACCTCGTTGAATTCGAAAAATGATATAGTGAAAATTATTGTTCAACTTCAATTGTTGATAATTTGGTTAATAATGAACTGATTTACTTTATTCACAGCTTAAATTAAAGCTTGGAGTCTCTACTTTAACTGAGTTCATCTGACAAATTTTGCTAAATCGACATCAAAGAGTCAAAAATCAAATTAGAAACCAACCCCGTGTCCCATTATTAAAATTGTAAATGTAATAAAAAAATATTGTTTAACTTCAATCGCGCGCAACTTTGTTAATAATGAACGGATTCGTTTCATTCGCGGTTTAAATTAAAGATTGCAGTCTCCACTTTAATTCATTCTTTCTGGCAATTTTCTCGAAATCCAGTACTAACAAGCGCAAGCGTAATAGCACTAGTCATACCGAATAATTCTGATACTAATACCAACGGTAGACGACAGTCTACCGGTTCGTAAGAGAACTTCCGGGTCTTCGCATAGCCGACCCTCGTTTGTCCCCGAAGCCAGACGACGACCCAACGCGTCTATATCCCTTCACCCAATCCTTTTCACAATTCCTACAAGCTAGATAATAACAATTTTATATCAGGTCCCACGATAAACGAATCTTTTTCTCGAAAGTTGTTAACATATAATATATTTTAACGAATGTTGGATATGTTTTAGGTATTCATCTAGATTGATGAATTTTTTCAACCTCCTATCATTAACAGGGAGAGAGAGACATTAGAATGTATAATTATTTATATAAAATAGAATTCTAATATGATTGCGAGCTTTAGGAATTTTTTTCTCAAAAACTATCAAACCTATTTAAATGAATGTTGGATATATTTTGAATATATTATCCGTCTAGCTTCCTATATTTTTTCAGCTCGCTACCATAAATACTTGTAATTCTAGAATTATTTATATAAAACGGAATCGAATAAGGAAATTGCAGATGGAACGCGTAACAGAATCAGGAACGAACCGTTCGAGGAGGGGAAGAAAAAGTTGTGCAGCCTCCTTGAAGACCGTAGGAAAGAAAACGGGCGAAGAGAGGAAGCTGTACAAGAAGAAGACGAAGATGAGGCGGTGGTAGAGAGGATAGGTACGCGTTCCGTTATCGGGTTCCCTGCACCGCGCATAACCGTACAAGCCTATACAGTGCGGTATAGAGGTCACGATCCCTCTAGATCAACCTCGGCAAGGTCAAATTCTAGGAGCACAACGTGAAAACTCACTGGTGAACGGATACAGTTACTATGATGGCTTCTAACGTTGATCATTTTTTGTTTAAACAGTTTTATCTTCAAAAGAATTGACGATAGAGGATTCAAATTTATAGGGAAGATAGATCTACTCTATGTTTAAATGTCTTCCAAATTTCATTAAAATCGGATCAGTGATTTTTTTAGAAAAAAATTCTGAAAGATTGCTGTTTTATGTTAGAATTGTATTTTATACAAATATCTTCCAAATTATTAATACTAGATTACCCAAGGAAGTCATTTTGACTGCTTTTGGGCAAATGTACAAATAATAATGCATAAATTATTTTTTTTCCCAAGTGAAGTAAATTCTTTTTCTCGTTAACATTTACTAATAACTTGTTATATGACTGTAAATAATATAAAAAATATTAAAAATTAATTTTAGACAAATTTCTTTACACATTATTTTTTCACAATGCAGTCATTTTGACTGCTTTGGGCAATATAGGTATATACTAAGTTTCAGTCTTTCTAGTGTTAATAATATAAGGTTGAAAAAATTCAGAACTGAGACGAATACTATACGTCTGAAACGTACTCATATTTCTTTCAAATAGGTTCGTAGTTTCTGAGAAGAAAATTAACGATCTCATTTATCTGTGTAAATAAAATGCACGCAAGTGTTCATAACTCAATGTGGTGGACATTGTTCACGCATTGTGGTCGAAGGATCGGAGGAATGCGTGTTTACGTTATTCTTTTTTTGCCATTATATTCGATTTCGTGAGAATCTGTCAGGGAACTCGATATTTTTCGGAGTCAGTATTACCAACGGATACACGCGGGAAAAACGATTCGCCGTCATTCTCTTCCCTTACCTATAATATAGTATACAGTTCTTCTCCGTATATAATAATAGTACATACATCTCTGCATTTCTACAGAATTTTTGATACATTGGCATAATAACATTGTTTATTAAATTCAAATGAGGATCTATGTTCGAATTGATAGTAATACTTCGAGAATTTTTTCTAGTTTCAGTTTGCAGTATAAAAATGCGAAAAAATCCTCACATATACTACTACTATAGTAGAACATTTCTGAATTTTTTTAGAATTTTTGATACATTGGAACGTGCATAATAAAATTGTGTGTTAAATTCAGATGAGGATCTATGCTCGAATTGATAGTAATACTTCGAGAATATTTTCTAGTTTCAGTTTGCGATATAAAAATCCGAAAAAATTCTCACATATACCACTGCTATAGTAGTAGATCTCTGAATTTTTTCAGAATTTTTGATCCCCTAGGAAACGGAATGGTAAGAGAGTAGAAGTTGAACTCGAGCGGTGAGACAAATTGTCTGAATTAGTGTAACACTGGGGTCGGCGTTCGCTCCAGACATCGTATTGTCCCACTACAACTGACTCCCAACAACGTATCTTTTGCTTTTGAAATCTGGTAAATAATTTAAAAAATCGAATTAAATTTGAAATTAATTAAAATTCGTAAAATTGATTATAAAATTGTTGATAATTGAGAAAGATTGATGGGTTAAATGAGTAAAAATGTGGGAAAGAAGTGGACGATAGTTGTTCAGTGTGAAGAGTAAATTGACGCGAGGCGAGTTGGAACGATCTCAATTTAGTGTTTAGTGTTGCCAGCGATGCTTCGAGCCGGTGCCGAGTTGTAAGAGTTAGGCAGAATTAAAGATTTGTGAGTGATCTCTGGATGCGAGTTATGCATGTCATGATTACTTCTGAAGTATTGGAGTTACTAGAAGATTCTATATGACCTTATTTGTAGAGGAGAGTTAGAGCTACAACTTTCGTTGCAAACATATTTCGATAAAATCAATAATTAACGAGTTATTAATAATAAACTGATAGGCAATATAAGAAATAGTTGTGCTTTATACTTTTCATGATTACTCCTAATTTATTACAGCTACGAGGAAATTGTATACAACATTATTTGTAAATCTATCCATGACCAACGACTTTTATTTAAAACATTTTTCGCTAGCATCAATACTTAACAAGTTATCGGCAATAAACTGTCTCGTCATCTCGTTCTATCGCGTTCCTCGAGTTCCCCTTTCGAAAATCGAGGAGAGCGACCGACCCGGCGGCCAGCTTCCGGTATGCCAGCGAGGCGACTAAGCTGGTATAAAATATAAAAGTATCGGCTCCATCCGCGTCCTCCGCTCGCTCTTTGTCCGATCGGATTCCGCTCTTCTTGCGGCCGCATTCCTTCCTCTTCTCTTCTTATACGCGCAGTATATACCGCAACGCACGTCGCCGCCGCGTGTGAAACCGTATACAACCAGCCACATCTTTGAAAGACGATGGAAGAGGAGTCTCGATCGTAATATACATATATAATACAATTTTTTTTTAAAGCAACGTAGGACGAAGGCAGAAAATCAGGTAGGGAAATGAGTTTTTAATTTAAAGTTTTAATAGTAGGAAGCTGAAAAAAAATACATTAACCCAGAGGGATACTATATCTAAATGATATCCAAGAATCATTTAAATCGTTCCGATAGTTTTTGAGAGAAAAAATTCGAAAAAAAAACAACGTCACTGAAAATTGTGTTTTATAGAAATAATTGTATCTCAGAAACTATAAGTGCTGGAGGGTTGAAATTTGCAGTGAATATAGACGGATGCTATATTTAAAACACATCCAAGATTCGTTAAAATCGGATATTTAGTTTGATAATAAAAAGATTCGTAAGTCATGCAATCTTATAAAATCACAATATTAAAATTGTACATTAGTTCAATTAAATATTGTATTAGGAGGAAGATGGTTTGAGGATAGGTAGAGACAGGAAATAGGAATATGGAGGACATGCGGAGTTGAAAAAGTACGAGTGGGAACGGAGGGGGAGGTGGGCTGAGGTCGATCGAACGGTGAAAGCAACTTGTTCACCGTTCCTTCAGACTCTGGGAGCTGGGACTATGCTAGTATAGTAATCACCGGTTCGCGCGTAATACCCGCACCCGTAATAGCCGGTACACTCTGCGAAGTTACGGGACTGCCGATGTACCGCTCTGACTCCTATCCTGTTGTACCCCAAAAAACCTCCTCCTCCTCCTTCTTCTTCTTCTTCTTCTTCTTCTTCTTTAAAAGGGTTTTAGAGGTATTTAAATGATTGGTGAACATGTTTTAGATACACTATTCCTCTGTCTTCAAGAATTCTTTCAATCTTCTATTATCAATATTCTTGATTCTATAATTAACTGGACAAAAATAGAATATTAATATTGTGATTTTATAAACTTGCAAGTTGTAGGAATTTCTTTCTCAAAAACCAGAGATTTGGTTTTAATTAAATTTGAATGTCTTAGATACAGTATTCCTCTAGATTCGTTAATTTCTTTAATACATTTAACGTACATGGGACGTAAAATTGCAGCAGTGATTAAAAATCGTTGCACAGTACCCCTAATTCGACACTACGTCAAATTAAAACCTGTGCACAATTAAAACTGACAGTAAATAGGATGCAAAAGCACAGTCGAGCAAGTAAGAAGTAAGAAGAGGATAGCAGAAATGCTTTTACTATTATTACGGTTTCGGTTTTATGGAATGAAACGCGTGCGTATGTCCTTGCACAATGGCCCGTGTAATCAGCCTCACCACCTGTTCCCCTTTCTCATTCTTCTCCTCCTCTCGTCCCGAACCTTCGTTTCTTTGTGTCTTACTCATTTCTGTTTCTCTTCGTCGCAGTCTCCCCTCTTTCCCTCTTCTGGACCAACGGCGTACTAATTGTAAGTACAGTATTGGGTGCCGGGTTGAAAAAGGTAAATAAACGTCTGTCGTTGTTTAACTACTGATGCCGCGGCACTGCGTTCAGACCCGCTCCTCCTTTCTGCCTCATCATAAAAGAAACCGGGCCCTGATCATATAATGTAAAAGCAAACTCCGAAACTGCAAACGCACCACACAGAAGGAAGAAACACTGAAAGAATGCACGAGTGTCGTACACTTTCAGTGTTTAGGACCGTCAGTAGGAATAACACATAATGCCACGTATGGCCATATATCCGGACGCTATTATAAATAACTTCGTACCATTTTCCTTTACCCAATCTCACCAAACACTACATGTATGTATGTACATGAATGTACATATGTATGTATGTACGTATGTATGTATATGTACATATATATGCATATATGTACATATGTGTGTATATAGTATGTATATTTACCTATAGTTTATATTACCATAAGTATGTATATAAGGTTCTGCAGCCGGCCCGTTTTCTCTTGAACTAAATATGTAGCGTACAGATAGGTAGCAAATGTGTGTGTGTAAAATGAAAAATCTTTACTCTGTGTAATGAATCGGGTGTAACGTATATAGTATATGTCCACACGTGTCGGTCGAGGCTATTTGGCAATATGCCCGAAAGACTGATGTTACGTCCTAAATTACGGGTTCTTGCTTGGGTCTTTATTTAAAGTGCTTAGCACACCTTGACCTAATTATCTATTTTAAGGGAATAGGTAGTGAATATAAAAGGATTGACACGAGATGTCTATAACAATGTATATTCTTTAATGTTTAATGCACGGTTCATTCCAGCTGCTTCTTAGTTCAGCCTAATCAGCGGTTCGGGTGTCAACGACTTTATGTATATGTACATATATATGCATATATGTACATATGTGTGTATATAGTATGTATATTTACCTATAGTTTATATTACCATAAGTATGTATATAAGGTTCTGCAGCCGGCCCGTTTTCTCTTGAACTAAATATGTAGCGTACAGATAGGTAGCAAATGTGTGTGTGTAAAATGAAAAATCTTTACTCTGTGTAATGAATCGGGTGTAACGTATATAGTATATATCTTTGTGCATGTGTACGTGGTAAG